GTGCTGATGTGAAGGTACAGTATTGGAGAGGGAGGTGTTGAGTGGGGAAGGTACACTAGTGGGAGGGGAGGTGTTGAGTGGAGAAGGTACAGTAGTGGTAGGGGAGGTGTTGAGTGGGGAAGGTACAGTAGTGGGAGGGGAGGTGTTGAGTGGGGAAGGTACAGTATTGGGGAGGGAGGTGTTGAGTGGGGAAGGTACAGTATTGGGGGAGGGAGGTGTTGAAGTGGGGAAGGTTAGAAGTAATTGGGGAGGGAGGTGTTGAGTGGGGAAGGTACAGTAGTGGTAGGGGAGGTGTTGAGAGGGGATGGTACAGTAGCGGGAGGGGAGGTGCGGGGAGCAGTGCTGCTGCATGTTACAAGGTAGTGAGTTCAACCACTGCTTTACCTCGCTACTCGTTTCACTTTCTCAATTTCGTTTGCGCAAGACGATAGTGTCTTCATCAAGAGAATTCCTCCATTAAACTGACTCTTCATCAGCTGACACACAGCCTAGCAACACACACAAACTTTCTTTACATCATCCAGTTTGAAACAAATTGATGTGAGGTGAGGTCTTAACAGTAACGTGTGTGCTGGATAACTCTCTTCAAAGACAAGGCTGCAAATAATCATGTGTTTAAAGCTTGATTTATCGCCGATTTTGAGCAAAACAATCCCGCTTTTGTTGTGTGTTTTTTTTTCCTGCTGTTGATACTTAAGCTGATATTGTTACATTTCTCTTTCGTGGTGTTTGCTGATTTCTGTTTCTTGTCTTTTCCGGAATTTGTTTTGCGGTTAACATCTGACGAACGCCTCGTCTCATGGGCTTCAAAATGACGGTGGTTTTGAATGTTGACAAGAGAAGGTTTCACTTGATAACTGGGTTGTGGTTATTTTGGCAACCTTTCCTTTTATTGCATCCATTGCTAACACCACCACCGATTGTTTCTGTACTTTTTTTAAGCAAATTTGTTAATATACGAGTTTTACATTATTCTAAATTTCCTCTTAATACATATATATATATATATATATATATATATATATATATATATATATATATATATATATATATATATATATTATATATATATATATATATATATATATATATATATATATATGTCGTGCCGAATATGTAAAACTGGTCAATTAGCAAGAACTCATTTAAAATTAAGTCTTTTCTAAAATTTTCTCTTATAGGTTTAAAGATATATTTTTTTTCATTAATGTTGATGTAAAAATTTATAATTTTGCACCTAAAGGAACTTAGAAAACTTAATTAACCTTATTATAACAAGCGCAATCTATTTTAGCCTAACCCAACTAAATATATTTTAGATTTGTTTACAGTAATTTAATACTAAACAAACACAATCAAATATATTTTTTTCGTTAGGTTCAGAATGATTTTGGCGAAATTATTGCATACACAAATTTTCACTTGTCCTATATGGCAAGATGAGCGTTGCTATTTAAGCCAAGATCGCAAGTTCTGCCTATTCGGCACGACATATATATATATATATATATATATATATATATATATATATATATATATATATATATATATATATATATATATATATATATATATATATATATATATATATATATATAAATGACACAAATTAAACAGTTGTTTGAAGAGATAAAAAAAAATTATTCGTCAACAAAAAAAAAAAAAAAAAGAGACAGACTTTCACTTAAAAATGTAATGTCAAATTCTCATGTTAACATTCGTATCAACGTCATTTTACCTACGCTATCCAATAATAATAATAATAATTATTATTATTATTATTATTATTATTATTATTATTATTATTATTATTATTATTATTATTATTATTTTAAACAAGAAGCACACGTTGCTGAGATGAGTTTTTTTTTTTTTTGAGGCAAAGATGAGTTTGTGTGGGAACCGTCATCAGACTCGTTGGTTACATTCTTGTCGAGACGAAGCTTAAAGTTAATTGTTGTTAGTGATTGTTTCCATACTATTCCGAAATGCTTCGAAAGGTTGTCTTTCAAATTTGGCATTTGAATACCCTAGATTTTGTGTTAAGTATGTCATTTAGGTTAGGTTAGGTTAAGTTGGGTTGGGTTAGGTTAGGTTAAGTTAGGTTAGGTTAGGTTAGGTTAAGTTAGGTTAGGTTAGGTTGGGTTAAGTTAGGTTAGGTTAGGTTAAGTTAGGTTAGGTTAGGTTAGGTTAAGTTAGGTTAGGTTAAGTTGGGTTAGGTTAGGTTAAGTTAGGTTAGGTTAAGTTAAGTTAGGTTAGGTTAGGTTGGGTTAAGTTAGGTTAGGTTAGGTTAGGTTAAGTTAGGTTAAGTTAGGTTAGGTTAGGTTAATTAAAATTTTAAGTATGGTTAGGTTAGGTTAAGTTAGGTTAGGTTAAGTTAGGTTAGGTTAAGTTAGGTTAGGTTAGGTTAAGTTAGGTTAGGTTAGGGTAAGTTAGGTTAGGTTAGGTTAGGTTAAGTTAGGTTAGGTTAGAGTAAGTTAGGTTAGGTTAGGTTAAGTTAGGTTTGGTTAAGTTAGGTTAGGTTAGGGTAAGTTAGGTTAGGTTAAGTTAGGTTAGGTTAAGTTAGGCTAGGTTAGGTTAAGTTAGGTTAGGTTAGGTTAGGTTAAGTTAGGTTAAGTTAGGTTAGGCTAGGTTAGGTAAGGTTTGTCAGGAAACAGAACAAGTGTTTCCTGACGCGGGTCTTATTCATATGATGACCCGCGGCTGGAGCTTTTGTCATCTGACCGAGACCTTCCGCTGGCTTGTCGTATGAGGAGAGGGTTGTTTACATTGCGAAAATAGTCTGATAAAGGAGTTTGAAAGTAAAAATGCAGTTGAAGGAAATGAACACGAATGCATTTACTTTGATCACCCTTATTGCAAACACAATAAAACTGTGTAAAACTTCAGGTGAGTAGGTTTTATATTGGCAGGTTTAGGAATTTGTAATATTTTACGAATTTATAAGAGGCTATTTGGTTTATATTTTGAAAACGACGATAAAAGAAATAAGTTTAGAATTAGTGTACCTAGTGTACACTAATCTTTCTTATTTTCTCAGTTTCGTTAACATCTAGCAGCAGTTTTAATGAAAACTGTATTTACGGGGAAACGTTAAATCCGTAGGGGGTCATAAAGAGCCCCTGGATGGGGGAAGGGGTAAAAGAAGGCAATTAGATCTGATACGAAAAGAAGGATAGCTGCAATTTCTTTGGTCAAGAGTTTTCTACCTTCGGTCAAGAGTCTTCCACCTTTGGTCAAGAGTTTTCTACCTTCGGTCAAGAGTCTTCCACCTTTGGTCAAGAGTCTTCCACCTTTGGTCAAGAGTCTTCTACCTTCGGTCAAGAGTTTTCTACGTTTGGTCAAGAGTCTTCTACTTTGTCAAGAGTCTTCACCTTTGTCAGAGTTTCTTTGACAGAGTTCTTCTACTTCGGTCAAGAGTTTTCTACGTTGGTCAAGAGTCTTCTACCTTTGGTCAAGAGTCTTTCACCTTTGGTCAAGAGTCTTCTACCTTCGGTCAAGAGTTTTCTACGTTTGGTCAAGAGTCTTCTACCTTTGGTCAAGAGTCTTCCACCTTTGGTCAAGAGTCCTCCACCTTGGTCAAGAGTCTCACCTTCGGTAAGAGTCTTCCACCTTCGGTAGAAGAGTCTTCACTTCGGTAAAGAGCTTCCACCTTCGGTAAAGAGTCTTACCACCTTCGGTAAAGAGGTCTTCCACCTTCGGTAAAGAGTCTTCCACCTTCGGTAAAGAGTCTTCCACCTTCGGTAAAGAGTCTTCCACCTTCGGTAAAGAGTCTTCCACCTTCGGTAAAGAGTCTTCCACCTTTGGTCAAGAGTCTTCCACTTTTGGTTAAGAGTTTTTCACCAGCGTGGTTAAATTTCAACAAATTATTAGGAGTTTTTTACATATTTTTTTCTTCCTTCTATTGATGATGTTTTTCTTCACTGACTCCAAAAATTAAAACAGGTGTGTCAGTACAATCATTATAATCATCATTATCATTAACCTCGTCATTAGCATTAGGAATAATATATTTTTCTTGTCCTCACGATCGGTAGAGGGAGGATGAAGAGTGAGGTTTTGAGAGGAAGAAATGTAAGGGAGAGAGAATAAGGGTGAAGAGAATGTGAAAGACGGGGGTGGAAAAGCGGAAGAGAAGACTGATAAGAGTTGGAGGATTTATTGTTTATGTTTATCTGGTAAAACTGTGAACTGGACGATATACTGGGATACTTCCCTCGGTCTTCCTAATGCAATATACTGGGATAACAGACCAGGAATATTTCCCTCGATCTCTCTGATGCGACTGAACCTTGTGTAGTTACTGACATTATATGTATCATTTCCAAATTTCCATTTTGATTGACACCTATTTGTAGAAAAATTTTAACGTGTTGTTCATATATCTTTCAAAAAACTCTGACTTCCTGTTACTATCGTGAGAGTCTCGTGCGTCTGCCTAGAGAGTCTTCACAGCGACTTTAGAGAGCTGAAGGCATTAAATCTTGAAGTTATCGTTAAATACTTCAGTAATTTTAATAATAAAATTTCACGAATGTGTTCACTGATTTTTAGTTGAGAATTACTTGGGCGTTTGGAAGAGACTTGTTTAATGATTCTTAAAACTGTTCTTAATAATGTGGCAAGAATTCCGTGAAAGGAAAAATCATATTTGTGGTTGTTGTGTACAGTTACCAACGTTCTTTAAACTTGTAAAGTTCCTGTTGAATCTCTAAGCAGTACCGCTGAGATAAGTGAGTCCTTTGGAGATGGTGTGATTTTTTCCCCCTCAGTGAAAGAGAGGCCATTTTACACTGAGAACCTTTCAAAGTCACGTAGATAAAATTTAACTGTAAAAACCCAAGCTTCAGTTTATTGTAAATAATATATAGGTTTATCCCCTTAGGAGGTGTGAAAATCACACGTTCTCTTAGATTTCATTCTTTTCCTTGTAGGTGTCTTGATATAACTAATCTGTTCCTCAGCATCTGTATGTTGACAACACCTTCGTATTTTTTCAGGCAAATGTTTCCTCAGGTGAAATTTAGAGTCTCTGGACTTGACCCGAAGGCGAAGTACATCCTCCTGCTAGACATCGTGGCTGCTGACGACTGTAGATATAAGTTTCACAACAGGTATCCGCAACTACATCCATTTTTCAGCAACAAAAGACCAATTATCCGTGTCTCCCTCCATCCCCCTACCCCCAGTCCTCCTAATCTACATTTTCCGTATTTATGATTACGCCTTGGGTGTGGCATCTCCGGCTTCCCGTCTTCTTTCTCGCAATGCTTCCTGTTTTCTTTTATTTTCTTTAATTTTTTTTTGGCGCTGACTATCTTATTTTATTTATTATGCTCAGCCTCCATATTTGTCTTTATTTCTCCCGCTTTGGTAACCCCTATGTTTATTTTCATCACTGTCATATATTCTATCAAAGGTCTGTTATTATTCTTGCAGACGTATGTTTCCTGCCTACAAAGTACGGGTCTCAGGGCTTGACAAAAAAGCCAAATACATCTTACTTATGGACATCGTAGCAGCTGATGATTGCCGCTATAAATTTCACAACAGGTATTGTTATAGACACCCCAGGTTAATTGTTCTTGAGACCCCCAGGTTCATTAATTGTCATAGAAAGCCCCTCAGATTTGCTGCTGTTGGAGGGTGTGATACAGTCTCCCTACTCACAAACCTCCGCCATATATATTATAAATAGAGATCCTTATGCAGTAGAAGAATGACTGTGTACATTGCCAAAACATCTGAATAGTTGGTCCACTGTATATATTTATATATATGATCCGTATCTTTTTTTGCAACCCTGTGAAGAACGGGTCCTCACTACCCTTCTCAGAACTGGTGTTGTGTAGAAGTAGCACAAACTTTCCATACCTCAACCCACACAAAGTTTAAGAAGGCCTAAGGTATGACATAGTTTCCCTTCCCTCCCTCCCTCCCTTCCAGCTTACAGAACACTCATTGCAGTCTGAGGTTTTCGACACCTTCACCTGTATTCTACTATGAGAAATTTCCATGCATTAGAGTTTGCTTCTAATAATTTCTGGGGAGTCAAAACAGTAGTTGTTTATCTGACGTTCTTGCAGCAGTAATCTGGTCACAGGACGTGTGTTAGAAGGTGACATTCCGATGCGAAGTGCGTTATCTGTGTGTGTGTGTGTGTGTGTGTGTGTGTGTGTGTGTGTGTGTGTGTGTGTGTGTGTGTGTGTGTGTGTGTGTGTGTGTGTGTGTGTGTTGTGCGTGTGTTTGTGTATGTGTGTGTGCCTGTGTGTGTGTGCGCGCGCGCGCGCGTGATATATATATATATATATATATATATATATATATATATATATATATATATATATATATATATATATATATATATATATATATTATAGTGTGTGTGTATATGTGTGTGTTATGTGTGCATGTTTGTGTGCGTGTGTGTGTTATGTGTGTATGTTTGTGTGCGTGTGTGTGTATGTACATGTTTGTATGTGTATATGTGTGCACACTTAGTGTTTGTTACAACAGCACGGAGGGGGGGGGTGATACACTCACAGTAAGCACAGTATTACCAACCTCTCACAGTGATAGGGCAGCTCATGCGTTTCATTCCAGTCGAAAAATAAACAGATATTCAAATATAATTCATATGCCTTCCATACATATATGTATATATACATATATATTTTTGTAAAGCATTCACATCGCTGCTGGCAAAACAACACAAATATATATTTCTATACAGCCATTTCCATCGTTTTCAAAACTGCATCAGTAGCATTAATAGCGTGTGATGATAATATATATCAGCAGAACTAACCTTCAGCTAAGTGGGTCATATGACAAAGACCCGAGTCACGAGAAATTTCCGTATTTCTCCTGGCAAACAAAACACCATCACCCCACATTTCTTTGGCTCGTCCACTTGTTAAGGTATTCTGAATCCTCAATCCACGTCTCTCGCCCATACACCCCCACCCAGCTCCTCTCTCTAGTAATCCTTGATGCTGGTGAAGGGCTCTTGATTCCAGTAACTTGAGGCTGCCTTTACCTTCCTCGGATGAAGCCTCGTTCCTCTCATTCCCTCAGGCGCTGTATGATTCACTGGTTCAGTGCTTCTCCGTGACAACAACAACAACAGCAATAATAATAATAATAATAATAATAATAATAATAATAATAATAATAATAATATTAATAATAATAATAATAATCTAGTCCTTCCCAACATGTCCACTTTATATCCTAGGCATGTAGAAATAATGCTCCTTTGTTAGCCTATATTTACTCAGGTAGTTGCATAACCCCCGCGGGTTTGGCGCTTACCCACGCATATATAATAAGAATAACAAACATTTATGTTACCTCAAGAACTGTCGGGATAATTTTCCGGAAAGATACTTAGATTATAAAATATGAGACTATTTAAAGCAGCTAAAAATCTCAGCAGGTGTGGACTGCGATTCTTGAAGACACAGCTGGAGACAGTCCAGGATCCTGACGGCGCAGCGAGGGCTCTCCCTTAAGATTATTAAGACACTTTCAGCCAAGCAGGAGACGAATTGCAATCATGTCATTCACGTCTGTAAATATAGACATACCCCCTCCCCCCTTCCTCACTCTATGTCGAGAAAAGTTATTAATTGCTAAGAGTTTCGTGGAGTGTTCAGCTTAACGTAGGAGGCCAGTCTCGACTCTAGCAATCAAATAGGTAGTTAATTTTTAGGTCTGGTAGGCACATACGCAGCAAAAAAAAAAAAAGGGAGGGGTGGGGGGTTATGTGTATCTCTTCGAGGCACACAAAAAACTAGTCCTGACTAAAAGAAATTCAGTGCATATTTCTCGAAGGCTCGTGGACAGTCAAACATTTAAGGGTTAAAGAGACATTGGCCACCCAAAAATAAAGTCTTGAAGCCACATAAGACTCCGTCGTAACTCAAATATTTACATGGGGAAGCTAAAAACTACTTAATAAAGGCACATATGAAGTCAGTTTCATTTCTTCAAAACACATAGAGAGCCAGTTCTTGAACGCTCACTAAGGAATCAGTGCTAAAATTCTTGATGACTCACAAGAAACCAGTTTAATTCTTGAAGACTCACAGGAAGCCAAGTTAATTCTTGAAGACTCATACGAAGCCTGGTCAGTTCCTGAAGACTCACAAGAAGCTGTGTTTGAATGCACACGTGTAGCCAATCTTGTTTTTTTTTCCCCAAAGCTCGCAGAGAGCCGATTTTTAACTCTGGAAGGCTGGTAGGAAGCCAGTGTTAACATGTGCAGGCACGCCGGAAGCCAGACAGGACTTCAAAGGACGCGCCCAAGACGTCCTGATATTCACTCCCGGAGACCCAAGTGCATGATAGTCCTTATGATTTCCTGCATTTATTATTTCATTACTTTCTCTCGCATGTGCAGAAATCCATACTTCCCCTCCCCCACAGTAGTTAGTGAAGCTCTGTAACACTGCCCCTGTACTAGTTGCCTGTCACCTTCATAACAGTAGATTGAGGCAAGCTCTCAGGCCATTATATAATATATATTATATATATATATATATATATATATATTATATATATATATATATTATATATTTATATATATATATTATTTTATGTATGTATATATGCATCTATATTCAGTTGCTCGTTTCTGACACAATCAACATGTGAATCTTAAAAGAATTCTCTATAAACTATGTTATAATGCCATTCGTATTAGATATCCATTTTCACTATAGTCGAGGGTATATGTAGATGTTCATATATATATATATATATATATATATATATATATATATATATATATATATATATATATATATATATATATATATATATATATATATATATATATATATATATATATAATAAACACCCTCCAGAAATGAGAATATGTTTAGCAAAAGTTTTCAGAATCGCTCAGGATCGTTCATTAAGCCACAATATATACGCAGATCTTCTGCTTGCTGCCAAGTCCCTTACAGTTTCCCCATTTTTTCCTCTCTTATTTGAGTTTGATGGAGAATTCAGAACGATTCTGGAAACTTTTGCTAGCCATTTTTGCCATTCTTGGAGGGTGTTTTGGTAAATTTTAGCGAGACCTGCGAATTTTTACCATGCATATTAATTTATTTTCGGTTCCCACAGCATCATTATATATTCAATAGCTCATACAAAGTCAGTTTGTGAATGGTTATGTAATCAAGGTTTGAAGATGTATATTTCCTTATTTAGTCTGCGGTAGTGACTCTAGAGCCCGTGTGTGTGTGTGTATGAGTAAATACATGCACACGCACACAATATACATACATATATATATGTATTATATATATATATATATATATATATATATATATATATATATATATATATATATATATTATATATATATATATATATATAAATATATATATATATATATATAATATATATATATATATATATATATATATATATATATATTATATATATAATATATATATATATATATATATATATATATATATATATATATATATATATATATATTGTACACACACACACACAGCGTTATAATAGTCAGGAAGTGGAACGAACTTGAGAGTGAAGTAGAGGCAGGATCCATACATAGAAAAGGCACGACATGGCTCTCGCAACCAGGAGACAAAGTGAATCTAGTAGCGACCAGCGAAGAAGCAAGGCCAGGAAGTGTGACTCGACCCCTACAACCACATATAGGTGGACACAAGGCTTACATTAAACATAATATAAAAAACAACAACAACAACTACCATAATACTCAACGTGAGTCACTAAGAGTGGAGACAATGAGCCAATCAACGTCCAAATCGTAATGAGCGTAAAACAATTAGCCTCCTGAATTACGCAGGTATACCACAAGAATTATTATTATATTTAGAGAAGCAACACCTGGCGTCTTGGCCGCCATGCTGAAGGTCTTATAGAATCAGTTGTTAATTGTGATCCAACACATTCATCTAATTAGAAGGAGAGGAGTGCTTTGATGCTGGTGAAGGGGTGTTGATCCAAGGAATCGCATCTACCCTTCCCTTGGATCATATCTGATTACAGCCCATTCATCAGTCATTTGACCTCCCTAAGAATCTACTGCTTTCTCTCCAATAGATAAGAGTTTGTCGCCGAAGCGGCTAGATTATGGTAGCGCAAGAGCGTATGGATATATAAAAGGCCTAGGAACTAGGCCTCCAGAAGGGGGTACCAGGAATATAGCTGGTTATATATCTCAAGACTGTCTTATGTGTTTCAAGCAGATATAATAATTATAATAATAATAATAATAATAATAATAGTAATAAACACTTAATGTCTGGTGATTCCTTTCTAAAATGGGCTTAGGAAGCCTACGGTCATATCTTAAATGATTCAGTGTTTAAATATATGTATGAGGTGGACAGGTAAGCCAGCGATAGGCCTCGGTCACGGGACCAAAAGCTCTGCTGAGCAGTTTTCACTGTAAACAAAACTAGTACCATGGGGAAAAAAATTCTCCTTATTGCTTCAGACAAAGTAAATAACATCACCACCAAGTACCAGCCACTCACTGTGGTTTAAATTCAATATGACCCTTCATTGCTGCTTCGAGTTCAGTATTAGCCAGCCAGGTACAAGGACAGTAAAAATACAAATACGTTTGGCTAGGGGTTCAGATGTTGGTTGTGTCTTAGTAATAAAATCGTCCTGGTAATAGAATTGTTCCTTTAATTAAATATAAATTATTGGTTATATTTCTGAGCCTTTTTAATAATATATTATATATATATATATATATATATATATATATATATATATATATATATATATATATATATATATATATATATATATATATATATATATATATTATTTTTTTTTTTTTTTTTTTTTTTTTTTTTGTTAATTACCTCAAGATTAGCTTGGGAAACTCGTCTAATCTTAACAGAGTATTATTCAATTATTTGCAATAGACAAGTGTGATATTTGTTCTTCTCCATCATGTTGTACATACAACTTCTGAAGTGTGGGTGGATGGTGTGTTGGAGGCATCGTGGGGCTCACCTCATTGACACTCCCCTCGTCTCTCTCCCCTTCAGCCGGTGGATGGTGGCGGGCAAGGCGGACCCGGAGATGCCTAAGAGAATGTACATCCACCCGGACAGCCCGGCCACGGGGGAACAGTGGATGCAGAAAGTCGTCTCCTTTCACAAGTTAAAACTCACCAACAACATCTCCGATAAACATGGATTTGTAAGTATTAGCCATCATGGCAGCTTCGTATACGTGTGTTTTCTTTTAAGATATGTGTGTGTGTGTCTCGTTGCGTTAGTGTTTGTGAGGCTGGGTCCATTGTGGTGCTCGGTGTGGGGGCCACCAGCTGCGAGAGGGTGGTCCTCGTCACTGCTAAACTGGTTAGACTTATTCCTAAGGATTTCGACTTAAGCTTCACTAAGTTGCCAAAACATTTCTTATCGCAGAAGTAATTGTCCTCTTTCAGGTTGGCTTTAGAAATTAGTGTTACTCGGCATTAGCTCTCGAAGCAATGAAAACATAAATGGATTAGGATCTCTAATGTCCTTTAGACCATCAGTTGTAAGAACGGCCACTCCCAGGCCATGTGTGGACGCAACATGTATTATCACCCTTCTAGGGAGGTGCCTTGACGCCGGTGAAAGGTTCTTAATTAAGGTGAATCGGAATTACCCTCCACTTGGATCAGACCTGATTGACTTACATTCCTTATTCCTCATGTGCTGTATAAGCCCTGTGGGTTTCGTGCTTCACCATGAATATGATAAAGCCGCTAATAACAGCCTTTTGAATCCTGTCTGGTATCGTTATCAACTGGTATCTTCATCAACTCTTTGCTTTGTAACGTGATTAAACACTTGTCTAGTATTGTGATCAAACACCTGCTTGGTATTGTGATCGAAAATCCACCTGGTATCGTTATCGGACCCCAGCCTGATATCATGATCAGATACTTGCCTGGTACAGAATGGAACACCTGCCTGGAAGGTTATCGGATCTAACTCTGCAGACAGGACCTGCTGGGATGGAGAGTCTGCAACACAGCCAACATAGTTGCTGACCTTATTATTTTCTTGAGGTTCGCTTTTTCGGCTGGTAGCTTTGTGATCGAACTGAAGCTGTGATTACGAAGTGCTCGACTGTTTGTTTAACTAATAAATATATACCAACTATATACATCTGTTAGCAGTTTCAGGGATCGTCTCCCCCCCCACTCCCCCCGAGGCCCGGTCCGAGACCAGGGCTCCTAAACTGGAAAGAAAACGCGTCAACGATAAGAACTTTAAGGAAACACACCTATTGACGATTAATGCGTACTGAATGTAAATAAGCTGGTAAGGGTAACGTTACTGAAATAACGTTTAAGTGAACTCTAACGCTTAAGAGTCAATTGCTAAAGGTATATTTTAAAGTAGAACACAGTGATAACTTTTATTGGCAAATGTACAGCTGTGAATCGTGATTCTAATACAAGCAGTTTGCAGTTATGATGACAGACCCCAGTCACTTGTACCCAGGCAAATAATCCAATTAGTGAACATTGCACCAGTCAGAATTTCACAGGTGTATAAATGACGCTAACATGTTATCAGTCAGTATAGTAGTACAAGTGTATAATTGACGTAAATATAGCGTCATTCAATATGAATTATAGTTATAATTCAACTGTACATACACAATTATGTCCCATGCAGGCATAAGGGCCAGTCAATCACCTGTCATCATTATATCTGTATTATAAAAATCACCCTTATTATACATTTCAAAATAATAATAATAATTATTATTATTATTATTATTGTTATTATTGTTATTATTATTATTATTATTATTATTATTATTATTATTATTATTATTATTATTATTATTATAATTATATTTTGACCAATAAAATAACATTCCACATCTCTGGATAAAAGCAGCAGGACACACACAAGTGCATCATTAAACTATAACGTCAGCATATTACTTATCAGCACACCGAACCTGCAGGGGTTATTAATGTGCACGCCTCGGAAGGGAAGAGGCCAGAGAGGCGAAACAGTGTTACGTACGTGTTGGCTCGGATACCCACGCCTCGTTTTCCATTGTGTGTGCACCATGTCTCCCTCGTTTTCTGTTGTGTGGAGCTTGTCTGTACACGGGTGCTGCGCCTGTGTACATCCTCATCCGCCAGCCCAGGAGGATGGTTAATATCGTGTAATGAATCCCGCCTACTGGGGGCCTTTTGTGAACCATAATGGCAGTGGTGTAGCCATTTGTGTTAGCAGTGTATGCATGGTAATGCGAGGTGTGGCTGAGATGCACACTATCGGCCACTACATGTGTTTTCATTTTTTAACTCCCTCCGGCAACGGTCGAACCACCGCCATCAGGCGGTCGGCCTCGAGCCGCGAGTGTCACCACTCGGCCACGGATAGTTTCCCCTTTATGAATTTAATGAATCACTCGGGTCTAGCGCTTCAAATAAAGTATAACCGGTTTAACAAAATGGTGCTTTTTCTCTAGTTCCCCACGGAAATTATTTCCTCCCAGTAATTAACATCATAGGCCTATTAACCCAGGATAATTAACTTTTTTTCATGTTAGATTTTGCCACCACAGCGGTTAGTTTACTGTGCACACCTTATCCGTCCTCCATCTTTCAACTGACAGCCAGCATTTTCTCTGAGACTCTTAATTAATAATGTTAATTGTGTTAATAATGCTGATAAAGCATTAGTATTAAGAGTCTAATAATAAATAATAATAATAAAAAAATATTATTATTATTATTATTTTTATTAATAGTAACGATCAAAGGTTGCAAAATCGAAGCAAGAACAGTACAAATACCAACAAGAACAGTAAGAACCCTGGATGAGGAACAGCAACTTGCTAGTGAGCTCTCCTCAGCAGTGCTGACCCAGGGATCTTAGTACTAATTTTCCATCACCAGGATAACATTGAGCCAGGGATCCTCTTGAGCGCTAATCTCCCTCCTCCTCCAGATTAGCGCTGAGCCAGGGATCCTCGTGAGCGCTCATCCTCATCCTCCACCTTAGCACTGGAGCGTCGTCTTAGACTCCGGACTCAGAACGCGTTAATGGCCGGATCAGATAACACCGCAAACCTCGCTATCCCGGCCTCACGAACCTCGCTACCCCGGCCTCACGAACCTCGCTACCCAGGCCTCACGAACACCATCCCGGACGATCCACGGTGCGCGCTCATCGCCGATTCAACACTCCTTTTTTTTTTTTTTTTTTTTTTTTTTTTTGTAAAAATGATGCCTTTGGAAACGAAGCTCTTTTGAGCAATGGCCGCGAACGAGGGAGGCGGCAAACAGGCTGGGACATTAACGAGGTGGTTCTATAGTTAATATGCAAATCAGTCATGCTTGTTAACCGCTGGCTGGGCCTGATCACGGAAAGTGAAGGATTTGTAGGAGAGTTGGGCGGACGGGCTGCAGGTTGAGGGATGAGGAGGAGGAGAGGGGAAGGAGGAGGAGGGGAAGGGGGAAGAGGAGGAGGAAGGAGAAGGAAGGGTAATGGGGTGGGGAGTCTCGTGCCCATCCGTGATGATTTAGAGTCTTGTTGGGACCAGCTGAACGAGGGGGTAAACACAGTGCTGTTAACCACAGCACTTGTTCTTAATTTGTTAACCTTATTATTCTACTTAGAACTGAGCGAGGGTTTCTTGCGTGTGTGTGTGTGTGTGTGTGTGTGTGTGTGTGTGTGTGTGTGTGTGTGTGTGTGTATGTGTGTGGGGGAGGAGAGTTGAGGATCCCAGAGGTGGACTTTACATCCAACTTCACGCCCAAGGCGTTCATAACATCAGCGAAATGGGTAAAAAAAAAAAAAACATGGTCAATACAAGAATAACTTTATAAAATATAAATGCAGAGTCATTCAGATCGCTGTACATGACATACACAAGACGAGTACTCAGCGCCACAATGTAGCTTTCATCTTCCCAAACGAAATTAGGAAATTGGGAACATACATATGTTTGCCGCAGGACTAGTGTCAGAACTACGAGGGGCGGGATGCGAAGATGTGAGATGAAGACCTTATATCATCAGAAGAAGAGATGAGACGTGATCACAGCTGCTAATATATTCATTGTTAAGTAGAGGGATACATGTGCAACTAATGTGACATTTTATTGTGGCAACGTTTCGCCGCTCTCCAGGTTAAAGACAACATTTCACCCACACTTTGGTTATGTCAACTCAGCCATTTGATAAAGCCACTGTCCAGGGTGAACGTTGTTTAAATATTTCGTAAGTAGTGCTTTGGTACTCTCCCACACACACACAAACACACACACACATACACACACACACACACACACACACACACAAACACACACACACACACACACACACACACACACACACACACACACACACATACACACACACACACACACACACACACACATACACACACACACACACACACACACACACACACACACACACACACACACACACACAGGACAGGAGAGATAGGGGGGACATGATAACGACATACAAAATACTGAGAGGAATTGACAAGGTGGACAAAGACAGGATGTTCCAGAGATTGGACACAGTAACAAGGGGACACAGTTGGAAGCTGAAGACACAGATGAATCACAGGGATGTTAGGAAGTATTTCTTCAGCCACAGAGTAGTCAGTAAGTGGAATAGTTTGGGAAGCGATGTAGTGGAGGCAGGATCCATACATAGCTTTAAGCAGAGGTATGATAAAGCTCACGGCTCAGGGAGAGTGACCTAGTAGCGATCAGTGAAGAGGCGGGGCCAGGAGCTCGGAATCGACCCCCGCAACCTCAACTAGGTGAGTACAACTAGATGAGTACACACACACACACACCACACACCTCTCTCTCTCTCTCTCTCTCTTCCTCCCTTCTCTCTCTCCTCTCTCTCTCTCTATCTATCTCTCTCTCTCTCTCTCTCTCTCTCTCTCTCTCTCTCTCTCTCTCTCTCTCTCTCTCTCTCTCTCTCTCTCTCTCTTCATCTCTCTCTCTCTCTCTCTCTCTCTCTCTCTCTCTCTCTCTCTCTCTCTCTCTCTCTCTCTCTCTCTCTCTCTCTCTCTCTCTCTCTCTCTCTCTCTCTCTCACTTTCTATCTCATAGTCAGTACAGATAACTCACTCTTATTCGCCTTGTTCCTCACTATTTCCTCACCCTCCCTCACCCCAACCGTCTCCTTTACTCCATCATCTTCACCAC